TTTTTATTTCGTTAATATTTGCGATCGACTGTTTTCGCAGTGTATTTACAGTGCAGTTTGTTCATTTTCAGGATTCCTCGTCAAATAGAACAATCTTATTGGACTTCAGAGATGGACTTCTAATTTGAACAATGATCCGCGCCTTTTCAAAACGGATACGGCTATCGGGTTCAATATTCAAATAATCAATCCATTATTGCATTCGTGAAACAGCTAGCGGGTTCAACAATCAAATAATTAATTCATTATTGCATTCTTGAAACGGCTGGCGGGTTCAATATCAAAATAATAAATTCATTAATGTAATCTTGAGGGGTACGCTTCACTTAGTTTGACTGTAAAAGATCAGCGCCTCACCGTTTGTTATTTTCCTTGCTGTTGATTCATTTTCGGCGGTTGATTCTTTTCCGTCTGTTGATACTTTTGCGGCTGGCGATGATTTCGTTGATACTACAACTGGTGTTATGGTTTGCGATGGTGGTGGAGAGGAGGATGGTGGTGGAGAGGAGGATGGTGGTGGAGATGCTGACAATAAAGTTGAAATGTGATTTAAGATGGATCTCAAGATTAGGTGGACGCTGAGAGTATCTTCTCGAGGCCGAGTGTGTAATCCTAAACATATTCTACTCTACTATTTATCGTGGTTAATATGGTAAAAAATGGCTTTATTCAACTGAAAAAAGCAGAAATACTGTAATGGGCACGACATCCCCCTCCACCTCTTGCTTTAAATTGTTAGGAGGTTCAAATCTTCTTAACTTTTATCGTAAAATGCTGACTCAATCCAAAAGTCTGAAGTCCTCGTGGAGATCTGTTTTTTTTCTTTTGTCCCACGCTCGATGAAAGAGATTATTATGGAGCTTAAAAATTACCGTATTTTATACTTAATTTAGGTGGTCTCAGTACGGTAATTATTATCCGTTAGGCGTAAAAATGTCCTGGTTTTGACAGGTAGTCGTATAAACAATTCATCGTATAAATGTTTCCTTGTACAGGGTGTCATTTTGTTTCATTTTTGGTTCGCTGTAAGCCGTAGAATAGCCAAAATTTTAATCATCATCAGCCGTTATGAATAAGTCCATCACCTCACTGAGATCCTCTATTTACTGATCATTCTTCATTATTATATTTGAACGTGATAGAACCTACCTCTATCGTTACAGAATTTTATCATCCCGATACCGTTCTTATTAGTTGGGTAGCTTAGAACCTTAAAAACAAAAAAACAAAAACAAAAAAATGAGGGAATTTGAATGAATGAATGAATAACGAATGGGGGAGTCAACGAATATAACGGACCAACGAACGAACGAAAAGATAAACAAATAAATCGATAAATGAAAAATTAAATGGAATAGTGAGTGTATGCATGTATATATAAAAGCACATCGGCAGGCGTGCAAGAAGGGATAAATGGATCCGAATATTAAGTCAGTGAAGTGATATATCAGTGCGTTTGGAAACGTAAGAGCAAAAAACGACACTGAAACAAAAAGAGATTAAAACACCAGGAGATCTGCATTTCGCTCCTTGAACTCACCAGTAAGTGAATAGGCTCCTCCTGACTATAGCCATAACGAGACAAATTTAGTCTGAGAGACGTTTGGTTCTAAAAACATGATAAAAGGAGAAAGGTACGACAAAAGTCAATGAATATGCTTCACAGCTAAAAAGGGGAATTACCAATCAGATCGAGGGAGTTGAAAGGAGAGGTATGCCACAGGAACCACATTATTTTCATCACCAAGAACAGCTACCTAGAACTTTTGAGATCAGGGCGGTGATTGTATCGTAAAATTTAAAAGTAACCTAATTGTTGAAAAAAGTGTCTGTAAGCTAAAAAGTCGCACACCGATGTTTTAAATCTTTCTTATTGGTCTGGCTGTTTACCTTTGACGTAAAAGAGTCCTGTCCCTCCCCCCTTCTTTTTTTTCAATTTCTTGTCTATGCATTTCAAGAGTTTTTGCGAATTGCGAGCAGGCTGTCACTACTAGTACTTCGGCACGGGCGTTTTCTCGCCGGCCGCGAGCAGGTTTGAGACCTTAAGTTGCTAGAGTTGTAACACTGATAATGAGTTGCCAGACCTCTCGCTGGTTTACTTGATCAAAGCTTCAACCTTTCCCGCAGGCGAAGAAATGCTTATGTCACAGGCATATTGTGCAGGCTTGCTGGCGGGCAACGAACTGTGGTATTGCTTTCGCATTCAGGTTATTGAATAGTTTTAAAAAGGCAGCGTCCACAATCCATTTTCACCCCATTTAAAGGCAGTTTTCGAACGATTATTTTACTCATTGGTTACTAAAATCGTGGACGGTGACTAATGTTTTACATACATCCGTTTAATTGCGGATATGAATCTTAGGCTTCTCATGCAGATTCTCTCCATTCAGTCTTTACAGGAATAGCCACAAATCGTACCTATTTACATAATACCATTCGACCAGACCACTTATAAACATCTTATGAAAAGAGCTGTGAGTGAGACCCCTTTTCTTACCTTTGGCACCTTAGCACAAAGTACTTCACTGTCAAACGAGTAACGAACCGAATAGCCTTTTAAAACGCCACTTGAGTCTATGAATTTAAAATAAAGTATTAGAGAAAATATCATTTTAAGGACAAGCAGGAGAGTTGTTCCGACTGCCAAAGTTTTCAGCAAGTTTAAAGCGAAATTGTGAGATAAATATATCACTTAGAGATCAAAGCTGTTTCGGGTTAAAGAGTCTCAGTGGCTAAGCGCAAGTGTAATTTCAAGCAAACCATTAATTTTTTCCTCGTAATAAATTGCAGACGTGCAACTATCAATTTACTATGCTGGAGTACATCATATTGGTAGTTTCCATATCATTTCTTTACCGGTCATCGAATATCACATTTTTTTTACACGTTATTATACATTTCACTCCAAGAAATTGAAATAGCTTTGAGAAACGTCTTACGCTAACACCAGAAATCAAAACACCACTTAGCCATTGCCAATCAATAGCTAACTTGGTGTAAATATTTACTGGCAAACACCCCGCAATTTGAGCAATTTTTTGGTACACTAATTAGATTGATAAATACCGCATACGAAGTTACACGGCCTCGCTTTAATAAATGGATTTTCGCGTTCAGGAGCCTGGACTCATAATTGTTTTTTGCTTTTCTGTTTGTTTGTTTGTTTCTGTTAGTTTTTCCCTCGTTTTTGCTGTATGTGTTGTTTGGTATAATAAAGGACAGACAGCAACCAGTTACACACCATCAATTGGACTCCAAGATACGTCCGCATACCAGTTATCTGTGTTATAATACTGTCCACATTTTACGGTCACATTGGATGCAAGCTGTTTTTCAGGTGCAGGTGAACTCTCATCCGCCCCCCTAAGACAATCTAAAATAAAAGATAACCTTGAGTACAAAAAACAACCGCCTCATTGGTGTACTGAGAAAGAGCGATCCACCAAGAAAACATCCTAGTGCCAAACCCCTCAGACACTTTGCGTGCTTGCTTCACTAGCCCGCTCAGTTCTCGCGGGCTTTGCCGCTCCTCCCACAACCAGCTTACACAGCCTGCCATGAAGAAATATCCCTTCCTTCCTGAGCCAAGTTAATCGAAATTAGAATTACGCTGGATTTCATTTTCTGAAAAGCTCGTTACAGAATTCATAGCTAATGCCGGTTGTCGTTTTTAGCTTAAAATAAAACTGAGATTATCCTTAACCTTAGCTTGAAGAAAACTTAGGGATATTTTCCTAACTGAGCGGAATTTTAAATTTTTTTTGGAATTTTTTCAAATTGTTCAAGTTCTCACTTCATAACGATGCTCGTTGTGCGACAAAGCAGAAGGCGGATATCAGACAGACTTACCACCAAGAGAACGCCGTCGGCGTTTTTCTGAAAAAACAGAAATAAAACGAATTTTAATACAAAAAGGCCTTTCCTTTTGAATAAAAAAGTTTTTTCTTCTTTCGAAGGAAAACCACAGGAACATTTAGACTACTTGCTTCAGTTATAACTTTATAAGTATGAGAACAAGTTGTAAATGATGTTAGAAGACAGACAACTGAATGACAGCTTTCTTATCTCTTTTAATCCAATCTTGGATGCTTTTCATTTTCAATCATCAATGTCATTTTGGTATATATCTCCCGTCGTTACTGTACATTCTCGTGGTAATCACCATTCCCTTGATGTCTTAACCAAAGGTAGGAAAGCAATTCTTTTTTTGAAATAACAATCTCGTATTTCTTTATGATAGCTTTATTTCTGGGTTTCAAAAGTAGTCGCATGTGACAATCGAAAACATTGTATTATTACATCATTTTTTCAACTTAGTAAGTACCAGATACCTCTCCTCCTTCTTAGACACTGATTGCAGGAGGGAGATAATCTGGCCTGAAAAAAATAAAAACCATAAAGATAAATATATTTCTATTTAAAGGATTACACCCACGTCAAAGTTTTTAAAATTGTAATTAAGATGATTATGACACATCAACACAATTCGTCTGCCACAATTTTTTAAAACAACACGAAAAACTTTGAGTGGTTGCATTATGACGTTATCAGGTTTAAATCTCGAGAGTCTGCCTATTTTTGTCGAGAGATGTGTCGACTATAATGATGAACAAGAAAAATCATTATTTTAATCGATAGAACTCTGCAGAAACTCTGATCTGCTTGGCTGACGAGATCGTTACCGAATATCTCATAGGTAACATGTTGATTGAAAACGCTACAAGTTTCACTTTCGAGGAGAACTGGAAGATTTTTGCATGGCTCCTCGTTTCCAGCCAAAAAAAATTAAACAATCCTTGTTGCATTTTTGTATGTTGACTGTGATCTTTATCCCCATTTTGTGTCATAAACATCGTCTGACTACTGGCAGCACGTGTGTCTCTTCCTGAATTTCTTAGAAAAAGTATAGCGTGGTCAGTGAACGATTAACCAAGAAACTGTCATGCGTAAAAAGAGACGTGGTACAATTCCTACATGTTTGCGACCGCTTCAGGAAAAAACTGAAGAATAGACCGAACGGAGGCAACTTGAAAAAGTTTCCTTCTATAACTTTTTCAAACGAAGCTAAAACATGTTTTAAAGCTGTTTTGCCCAACCCAGCGGTTTGAAATTGGGTTCCTATAACTTCTCTTTATTGATATTGGTCAACTTTGTATCTGGCATAAATCAAAATAAAAATTAATGATCACCTCAACCCTGTGTAAAATCGTTTTTCCGTTTTCTATTGCGAACTCTAATTAAGCAGTTGAGTTAAACCTTGTTTCGTTGGTGTGAAAGGGGCATAAGTTTATTTCTGATTGATGACTCGTTGAAGTCTTAAATCTTGTGGTTCGTCCATTCTATTGAAACACGTACGAAGCCCATAACAAATTAAGGGATAAATGAGGGTGGCATTGGAATTTATCAAAAACCGCGAAGCTGTAGAAAGAATCATCCAAAACCGCAAGACCACCACAAAAATTCGATCAAAACCGAAAGCCCCATGCAAAATCGTCAGTCATCAAAACTCAAACCGAACCGATACAGAGGTGTCAAATGGAGCATACAGAGGTTTCGCGGCTATTCGAGATCGGTGGAGGCGCATGATTGCCCCTCAGATCGAAGAGAAATGGAAACCCAAACAGGAAAAACCGAAAACCAACTCAGACACCAAATCCGAAAATCCATCAGTATTTTGAACGAAAACTGACAACCAAATGCTAAAAAACCGTAATGAATATCAAAACCAAAAAACAGAAGTTTTTTTGGCACAAAAACCTCAAAACCGAAAATCCCAATCCTCACAAATCAAAATTAGTCTTACTTTTCCAATCAAAATTTTCGAGGTAGGATATCATCAAACTCGAGGTTTTAATGCGTATTTGGTAAAGATAGGATAAAAAATAACTGCTTTTTTAAGGCTAACCTTGACTTTTACATAAAAGAATCGAATGAAGAAAGAAATTATTTGCATGTTGTTGAAGACAATTGTTTACTTGTCAAGTATCAAGCGTTGTTTAAATTCTTTCTATTTGTTATTATAATAAAACCGTAATTAGTCTTACTCGTGGCAGCTTGAGGCGAAAAACATTCTGTTTCAATGAACTGACAACAAAAGGCCAAAAAATACAATTAACGCAAAAGAAAAAAAAGAAAACAGACAACACGATGACAAACTAAAGCATATCCCACACGCATGCGTTCTTTAACCTTAGATCGCGTGACCTTCGCAAAGAGCGCTTAGGATCGAAATTCACAGCATATTTTCCTTTATGCGGGCCGTGCCCAACCTGCAAAAATTGGCTTGAACCGGAATTATTTCTGTCTGTGGTCCAAACCTGATGTATCGTTGAATTGATGACTGCATTATATTGATTTCGGTAGATCAAATGATTTCCTGTTTATCGCCTGGCACACGTTTCTTTTTTCTTGGTTTTTTGTTTTTTTTTTTACTTAATTTTTTTCAATGTCAGTGTTCATGTCAATTCTAATATGATGATCATGAAAAGCGAAAGAAAGAAAATTTTTCAAAATCAGTCGTAAATTTAGCCTGCCCCAACAATTTCTACAGGTTAAGAATATTTTTCAAGCTAATGTCACTGGAAAGGACAAAAAAATTAATTGTACGAGAATATTTTGTGGTCGTACGTTAATTTACTCTCCTTTCGTTTTTACTCTTGTCAGTACAAACAAACAGTTAGTTCTTAAAAATCCGGTTTGCTTCCTATAACGTAATTAATCGCTAATTTTGTAAATCTTGTCATGATTCCAAGACAGCCTGGAGACCCCGAAACTGAACGTATTTCAGTGGTTCTAACTTCATTAAAATATATATTTCGGGACACACTTCGTTTCGCAATCCCTTCAGTTAACCTTGCTGTAATTTCAGGTTTAGTCAGATTTCACAATAGGCTCATAATTGTCTCCAGGGCAAATTTGAAACTAAACAGTCTGCGATAAACATACTCTGCGGTCAGTAAAACAAAGGCCGAAGAGAACTAGAAATGCACGAAGGAACACGAATAAGACGTTGTCGCTAATTTGCAATCATTAACCCAAGAACCATTTCTGAGGTATTAAAGATTTTAGTCCAACTCCAAAGAAACTTCAAAAGAGCGGGAGATAAGATAAATTCATCACGGTCCACATCTTGATTTCGCGTCCAACGAAAACATATTGCTTGAATGCTACTTGAATGTAGCTCTGTACTTTGAAAATCAGTATGAACAGATATAATTATATGCCCTGTCAGCGGAAATATATTTTTAAAATAAAGCAATCACGTAACGAAAATTGTACTTCAAGAAACAAAGCGACAAGAAAGCGACAACAAAGGTCTTTCATACGGCACAATTATTTAGGAGAAGCATAATAAAAAACGCAGAGCGACGTGATCGTGCAATATAGCAGTAATCACCTAATGCAGCATTAACTTCATTGACCTATAATATGTATAATCAAGCAAACCACCTTTAATTAATCTTTTTTTTTAGCTAGTTTTGCAGAGGGAATTATTCTCTCAATTTCTGTTTATATCACCGCGTCTTGCAGGTAAATCGAAAATTAGTGACATTTATGAAATATTTTCCTTACCGCATTTTGAATTAAACAAAGGCCTCCAGTACGACATCGTCTACGGTGAATTTCTGAAGTTCAATTCTCTAACGCAATAGTCCTGGATATTTTGGTATCATCAGCGGGAATTGTTGTCGAATATCAATTGCTCACAATTTACTTGATCAATTATTTTGTTTATATACGAATATTAGAAATTTTCGGCAGCCGCAACTCTACCTCGAACATTCAAACGGATTTCGCGATTATAGTTGATTACTTTGAAACTGCTATATACGTTCTCAGCCAACGGCGGAGTTGCACCACAACATGAAAATTTCTTTATAAATAGAAGAGAAAGATAAACTAACCTGATCTCGCTTTGTCAAAGTTTTCTGGTTGTGCAAGCCGCAGGCTCGAAGGCACCCTGCTGTCTTCTGTGTGCTATGGTCCAAACATTCGATAAATGTTCCTGCGATAATGAGCGCCCCTACAGCAACTACAGTAGTTTTTGCAAGCATGGGGTCTATTGTTACTCTTAAAAGACTTGCTAAACTGGGTAAAGGGCGCGTCCACCGAGAAGCAACGCACGTCGTCTTGAGTAGAGAAGCTGAAACAGCTCCAAAAAATCAAGGTCGATTGGTCTCGACTTGCTGTTTTGTGATGCAGATTGGAACAGCACCAAGACTTGTTATTTTGGTGCGTCTAAATTTCACGCCTGGATAAATCTGTCACTTTTCACTCCAAAGATCGAGGAATAAATTATTCTTGTCAAAGTTTCAAAAAAAAACTCTCTCCTAAAATTTCAGGAAAATGTGTTTATTATTATTTTCCACGGTAAATGGAATTGTTTCGTTTTTCTTTTGTAGTTTTGTTTTCTTCTACTGACTATTTCAAGCAGTATACTCAGACATAGTATACTGCTGAAATGAATGTTAAGAGCTTTAGCACAAACTTTCCCATTCACTTTTCATGGTAAAATTCAAGAGAGGGAGACATACGTCAACAAATCTCTCTCATCTCCGTTGTTAGCCAAGGGGAATGTCATACATTCCAAAATAATTGTGGAGGATAAGAAAGTCAACTGACATGCAAGGCAGAATGCATGATAAGGGAATGCTGCCAAAGTTGATGACCGGAAAACCAAACCCTGATTATTCTATACGAAACACATTTATATATTCAGTTATCTATTAAATCCAATTATTTAAATAATTTGATTTAGTTTGCAGAAGAGCTGATGTTGTATTCCGGTGGCGAAAATGTTAAAGTTGTACACACTACCGATGGCTTGAATTCTCTCTAGTGCCAGTGTCTCAGTTGAGAGGCACAATCGTGAAGTGTTGGGTCAACTGGAATGATAACCAACTCGTTTTGACTCCATGGGCCAATTTTCCGATCAGAAAGCAGTTAACTGCAGCTTCGTGAATTCCAGTGATAAGCAACATCTGGCCAAAGGTAAGTGATTGTCACGTTTTTCATGGTTTGAAATTTGTTAATAAAGCTGTGTTGAGAACCTGCAAAGGTTCATAAAGCTTCTAAAAGGAAATAAATGTCATTGCATTGTTATTCGTGACAGTGGGTTAATATTGCTTATCGAGTAGGATGATGAAAATCGAGTACGACAAATGCATATCGAGCTCGGTTACCCAGGAACAAAATGTGGAGACGTTTTGTTGTGTGGTATCGCCATAGTTAGTTGATGTCATGGGGAATGACATCAAGCCTGTAAGTCCAAGTTCACTACTGATTAAATATGCTGATGACATTACAGTTAGTGTACCTATTAAGTCAAGCCCAGGACAGAGTGACCCATCACATAAAGAAGTTTGTAGCATCAAACGCTGGGCAGACGACAACAAGATGACGTTCAATTTCAAGAAGACCTTTGAAATGGTAGTAAAGGGGAAGACCAGGAAAACTCCTCCAGGTGATATTGGCGGGATAGTTAGGAAGAAGGAGCTCAAATTATTAGGAGTAACATTTCATGAAAACCCATGTAATTGGGACACTCAATTTAAGCATATGCTTGGCAAGGCCAATTCTAGACTTTACATCTTGAGTGTCTGCAAGTACTTTGGATACTCCGTATTGGAGTTGACTGTGCTATTTGATAGCCTCATAATGTCATTATTTTCATATGCATTAGAAGTATTGGCCTGTGCCCACCAGGGTAAATGCATTGCACAGATTTATAAGTTTT